TGCTTGTTTGGTTCTGTAGAAATTGGTGCGAGGGTAGCCAGACAGTGATAGGGTTCATCCCGAACGAGAAAATTGGGGGGAGGGAGATCGCACCTAGCAAAAGTTTCCCACAATGTGACTTTAAGCCGTGCTCCCAGCTTGACTGGAGCCTCTGGACGTATAGGAACAATGGCAATCGCGCTCCACCGCTAATCGCGAAGCCCGGGTCGCAAACCTTGAACGCTGGCAAAGGTGCGTTCATAATTTGCGTCACCGTTCTGGGCGGCTAGGAAAGAATAGGTATCGATCCAGTCCGTTAGCAGCGCTCAAAATGCTTACGGACGCTTGAACGCTGGATCGATATCCACACTTTCCTAGTAGCTCAAAACGCTGACGCAAAGTGTGAACTCATCCTATCTCTAGCTGTCGACGCGGCTTATGTAACGCGTCGTCTATAAAGTAGCATGTGTACTTTTGCAACACAATGCCAAACAAAAACTTCACAACTGTTTTAGTGTTTAATTGTCTGGAATTCCAAATAACTAAGGAGTCAGAATGTGCTACTGCTATGTCCCCAGAATAGTATTTTCTTTTATTAAAGTGGAGCCTGTTTCAGATAATTTTATATAACAACAAACTATCACTGATAGCAAAACTCGAATACAGACCGTATATTTCGCAGGTCATGACCAGATTTCTTTTGGCGAATGACATTCCGGGTCAAACTGTGTAATCACTGTACTATCACTATAATGACTACTGACCAATGAGCGCATTTTGAGCAAAACGAAAGAAACTATCCCAGATGAATGAAAAAAATGATGATTGAGATGATCAGGAACTTAATAAGGGATTCTTAAAAAGCATCTAACGAAGATGATCAATAATGACTTTTTCAACACAAACTATTAAAATATAAAAATGATATAATCTCTAGGAGATATATGAAAAAGTCATTTGAGCAACCTAAAAAGAGGGGGGGGGGTTCAAGTATGACGCGTCGACGTCAAAATGGATGTTGATATTGAGAACGACGTTGGTCAAGCTTCGACACGTTCCTAGTAAAACAGTTGGGAAACGGCTGACACCTAATGATAGTACAAACAATACAAACTAATTCTGAACATCCCTAGATAGAGAATTATTTGGTCAAAGGAAATGAATCCTTTGTTATTTTTGAACAAAATCAATGAGCTGATATTGTTTGTCGCAATGCAGACAGAGTTCATTTGAGGGTGATGATGATCGTTCAACTTTCAGAGTCTTTTCTTCTGCAATGCAAGGTCCGCTGGTGGTTCCACTGAAAAATACATTAATATAATTGTAACAAGTACGACACATTCTCACACCTGATCAGATAACAATCTTACTACAAAGTGCAGCATTTAGGTAGCGTTCAGACTTCGCGATGACACACGTGGACGCGTTGTAACGCGCGTCGACGCGTATAGTTGCAACAGTGCTCTAATCTTGTAAACACGAACGCACTCGCAGACGGGAATCGCTCAGCACGACTGCTAGTATATTGAGAGAGTATGGGGGAATAGGAGGGCAGGCAGAGGTCAGGAAAAAGGAGGGCCTT